CAAATAACATACTTTGGACACAGCATTTATTTGAGAGTCCAGATTCATTTGGTGATCGAAAAGGAATCCCAGGTTCTTGGCCTTGCTAACAGGACAGATTGTGAGGTCTCCTAAATCCATTGTCTGGATTGGGCTGACATATGGTCCTATATCAATGAACTCTGTTTTTTCATCATTCAGTTTTAGGAAGTTAACTGTCATCCATTGCTTTATCTCCAGAAAGCAATTTTTCACAGCTGTTAAATCAGGATTAGAACTGTGAACATCGAAAGCAAAGTACACCTGTGTGTCATCTGCATACAAATGTATCGAGAAACCATATTTTGTGACAATTTCCTCAAGATCTCTGGTATACAATATGAACAGTAGTGGTCCTAAAATGGATCCTTGAGGTACACCAATATCCAGATAGCATTCAGAAGATGTGGCTTTTTTAACTTTAACTTTGAATGTGCGATTATTAAGGTAACATTGTAACCAGCTGAGTGCTAGTTCTGTAATACCATACGCATTCTTGAGTTTCGTAAGAAGGAGATTATGGTTTATGGTGTCGAATGCAGCTGATAGATCTAAGAGTAGAAGCACAACATTCGATTTGCTAAATAATTTTCAACCGTATTAAATAATTTTCAACCGTATTAATTTATTAACTTATTGTAAATAGCAAGTTTGACAAAGGGATTACGTTTATTTTACCCGGAGTTCGTTTAAGTTTAGTATTGTAAATAGTTAATTTGACGAAGGGAATACGTCTATTTTACCCTGAGTTATGTTTTAGTTCAATCTTGACACAATTTTAAAATTATAATTTAATTATTTTATATATATGTATTGTCCATAACTAGGGTGGCCTGCTAACAGAACCATGATCTGCCTTGATTCATCCTTCAGCACAGAGAAAAGCTCCTTTTTTTATACATTATGATTACAGAGGATCTGATATTTAGATATATATTGCTGTGCTGTAAAAATTGACTTTATTTATTTATTTATTTATTTATCAATCATCATTAGAATATCATTATGTATCTTTGTAACTGCAGTTTCACAACTATGGAATTTTCTATAGCCTGATTGATATGGGGAAAATAGGTTGTTGACATCAGCATATTCATTTAATTGGCAATGAACTACTTTTTCTAGTATTTTGGACAGATAGGTTAGATTGCTAATCGGTCGATAGTTTTTCAGCTCATCAACATCTAATGTAGGTTTCTTGAGTCCAGGCCTTATAGATGCTTCTTTTAGGGCAGATGGAAACTTTCCAACTCTTAGTGATTCATTCACGATGTAATGGATGATTGGGAGAAGCTCGGGTAAGCAGTTCTTGAAGAGCCACATTGGTATGACATCGAGTACGCTTGATTTATTGGGAAGACTCTTAATTAAGGTTTCAAGTTCTGGTAATGAGACTTCCTTAAACTGATCAAGTCTACACTTTGTATTCTCTATCGAAGTAGAGTTTTTGGTACCTTGACCGTTAAGGGAAGTGTTTTGAATTTCCTTCTCAATATTAGAGTAAATGGTTTTTACTTTTTTGTCGAAGAAAGTCTTGAGTTTTTCAGCCACTTCGATATCTTCACCATTTGGCAGTTTGTTGGAGCCATATTCTATATCTATTAAAAGTTTATTTATGACTTTGTAAGTCCCTTTCGAGTCTCCTTTGCAAGAACTGAGCTGTTTATCATAGTAGCTATCTCTAGCTCGATTGATGGTGATTTCTGCGTCAACACACTTTTCAAAGTGAGTAGTTTTAAACTCATCATTCTCTGGATACTTTTTGGCTTTTCGTTTTGCTCTTCTCCTCTCTCTGACAGCAATTTGACATTTTTCATCCCAAAAATCAGACTTTTCAGCAGTAAATCGTTTCGTAATAAGTGGGGCATGTTTGTCCAGCACCTGTTCAAGGACATTTTGATAAAGGTTCACAGCCTCGTCCAAGGATTGATATTCAGAAAGGTTAAGCTCTGAACAAAACAGATCTTCCCTGAACTTATCGATGTCAATTTTGCTTAGCTCTCTGATATCTTTTTCTTCATATGTACGAGCTTTATGAAAATCGAATGAGACTGGGATCTGACAACTTACTAGATAGTGATCAGAGCTGGTTCCAGTGCTTGTCTCTACCATCATATCTGTTACAGACAATGAGTCACTTACACAGCCTAGAGTAAATAACAAGTCCAGTGTCCCGCCAGAGATGTGAGTAGGAGAGTCGACATGCTGAAGGAAGCCTTTGCTCTCACAAAGGGCAATAAAGTTCTGGGCAACATTATTGTTTAGGTCTTCAACATGGAAATTAAAGTCACCACAAATAATTGGAGATCCAGTTTTAAGCAGAAGATTGTCCAGGTATCCATCAAAGTCATCCATAAACTTAGATATTTTTGTTTCATCATATTTTGTTTTGGCCTGAGTGCTGCGATAAACTACACATAGCCTGATAACCTCACCAGCAGTTTTAATGACACATTCAAGTACTTCAAAAGATGAATATTTAGTAACATCATTGCGTACAGGCGAAATCACTTTGGGGTTGAAGAGAAAACCAACACCACCTCCCCTACCTCTTCGAGGGGCACTGATAATATCAAACCCAAAATCACGAATTTCGGCAAACTTTGCCCGATCATTAGATTTAAGCCAAGTTTCCGTGATACAACAGATAGAGATCGAGTTATCCTTAAGCATTTCTAGTACGCCACAAGTTTTGTTGCATAGAGACCTTGCGTTGAATCAACCAATAGAAAGCTGTGATTTCTGTCGATTAGCACCTAATTTCACATTACGTTTTTTGAAATAAAGTCAGTGTTAGCAGCAATACGTTTAGTTTCTCTTACCAACACAGGACAATCATAAGCAGCCGCATTATGTGTTCTTGAATTCTCAGCATCATTGGTGTGTGTTGAAGCCAAACATCGAGCACAGGCATGTTTGTCTTTCTTCCGCTTAAATTGGCATGCTGAAGACCGGTGACTTCCCATACAGTACATGCAGGTAGGATTTTTATTTGTTTTGACTTCATTACAGTCAACAGAAGTGTGTCCAATCATTTGACAATGATAACACTGTTTGATGTAGAAGCGATCAGTTACTTTGTATCTGCGACTACCTAAATAGACAGATCCTTGTTGTTGGTTAAAGAGGACTCTTTAGACAGATGGTGATAGTTTGATTCCAATAGTGAGCTCTGTGCGTTCCTGCTTATCGTTGGTCAAACGTTTACTCTTATTGAGATAGACAATATTGATAGTGTGCCCTGCTTCATATAAATCTTTGATATGGATGAGTTTTTCTCAACAATTTGGGCGACTATGTGGTTCTTTTCAAGATCCCTAAGTTTATCAGCATCATTCCCTACAGCTGTAGTGTCTATATCGTCAAGAACTTCAGAAGAAACACCATAAATAGTAACTTTTGGCAGCATTTTGTTGCCATTCTTAGACTGATATCCATACGAATCTAAGGTTTTTCCATCATTGAGAAGTGAAATAGCCTTATCACGAATTTCAGCATTAGGGAAGCCAATCGATACTTTCTTATTGTTTTCATTACATCTGAGAAATACTACTTGACTGCTCTTTAATTTATCAGTAGCAAACTTTTTCACATTCGTCATTGTTGCAGCATTTACTGATTGTTCTTCTTTAGGGGACAGAATTATAATCTCTGGTGATGAAGGTTGTGTTGGAGCAATTGGAACATGTGGAGGTTGAGCGGATGGTGTGGAACTGTTTGAGTCGGTAAACAAACTGGAATAGAGATCGTCCTTTTTATGAGAATCAGTACCGGATTTTGTTAGAACAGAGTTTACTTTATTCTCAATAACATCATTTATATTTTTCGTGAGGTCTTCTTTTAAAGATGAAAATTGTTCAGCAAATTGTTTCATAAAATCAACCTGATCTGAGGATCGCTCTTGAGCTTGTGAAGAAGTTGGCATATTGCCATCAGGGGGTAGGTTCGACTGCTTATTCACAACTTTCATAAGTAAACCCTTCATGTCCTCCATAGATTGGGACAGATTATCTACTCGCCTATCAATCAGGTTGACTTTACTTTCGGCACTGACTGCGGAGTTCTGTTCAGAGAGTGTCTTGCAGACATTACACACAAACGTAAAAGTCCCAAATCTGGAACTGTTAACACCCTTGGTTGCGTTTCTGTCTGAGTATGCTTTGAAGAAAGTGCGAGGACAGATTACATCAGTATTAATCCTATCTTTATCAGTATCTCGACAAACAGCATGAAATGATGATTTACACAAAAAGCAGGTAAGAGCAGTGTCATTAGCTTGAACATCATTACAGGTGGTACAAGTGCCGTCTTTGATGTAGGCAAACTGGTCATGGTATTGGAGAATGTTACCTTGTCGCTGTTGAGTACTTTCAGAGGATGTGGATGAGTTCAGGATAGGTGTGAAACTGTGCGGGGATAACATATCTTCGTTAACATTCCCGTCATTCTTTGGCGTAACATCCTGTAACGAGATTGAGGACCTCTTACCCTCTTCATTAAAACCACCTTCTCCGATCATTGCGCACTTCTTTTACAAAGTGAAACAGTGCAAATCAGCAGAGTCAGTAGAGAATCAAAATTGAGTTTGGGGTCCTCAATAAATGTAATAGATTTGTAGTGTTGTAATTAGTTTAATGACATTATATGTTTAGTTTATGACATTATAACATCATCACACATGTCTACAAAGTATCAAAACACTATATAATTATCAAACCTATGTAATTATCAGACCAAATAGATCTAGATACTGGTGGGGAAGTAAATTATATTTGTTTGTTTAGTGACACTGATTCTTTCTTTTGATTGATTAGTGTTGCAAGTGGATGGTTTTAATGTGTTAACCAATTGAATTATGAGTCACCCTAGTCTTTAAATCCATTCTACTGGGTCTAAGTTTTATTTAATTCATGATGTTATGTAATGTATTTCATCTGAATTAAAACAATTTTCTTTCCTGACTCACAATTTAACCTTTGCAGCCAAGGTTTCCATGCTTGTTAACAAGCTCAGTTTTTGTGAAATGGCACATGCTAGGTGATCCTCACTCAGCCTTACCTTGAACATCATGGAAGAGGGAGATCTTAACGGTGGGGATATTTCAGACTCTCCTACAATTTCTGACGAACGCACATTGTCTGATTCTGAGGCCGATCCTGGGAGAGCGTCAGACTTCTTTGACTACACTCCCTCTCAGAGTTTTAATGCTCCAGTCTCTTACTTAGAGGTATTCCTTATAGTTTGATTATTCATTATATTTAACACAATTATACCTTTAATGTTGCTGCTTCAAAATGAAGGATAGACAATGAGGATATATGCATAACAGAAAAATATCATATGCAATGGTATTTATCAATCTCAATTATCGAAGTATTCGAATATTTTATAATTTATTTAAGTTACTTTGTTAAATTTCTGAGGAGTGACTGAAGTAAAATAAAGTTTTGCACCAGAAAACATTACTCAATAATTACGAAATTCTCCAATGATATAATAATAATAACTTTTACTATGAAACTGTAGGAGTGCCACCTGGTTATGAACGACTTGCGACGTGATCGTGATCTGTGTGACGTAACTCTTGTTGTCAAGAGTGAAGTTTTCCACGCACACAGAGTGGTCCTTGCCTCACGGAGTCCTTATTTCCTTGGAATGTTCAAATCTAACATGGCAGAGTCTCAACAAGATGAAATTACCCTCACAGGTACTAATTACTAATTACTAATTACTAATAATTACTAATAACTAATTACCCTCACTGGTAATAACTAACAGATTATATTTTTTCCGATTATACAAAAATACAGTTGGTAGCTTCATAATCTTAGAATGTAATACTGACTATTCAAACTACGACTCTATCTAGGATTGGATGCGAACTCTTTCAAGCTGATCCTGGATTTCATGTACCTAAACAAGATAAAAGTGACAGAGTCAAATGTACAGTTCCTCCTTCCCGCTGCGTCCTTACTCCAGATCATGCCTATTGTCGAGGCTTGTGCTGAATTCCTCAAAGATAAGCTTCAACCTTCCAATTGTTTAGGTTATAATCTTTTCTTGTTCCGACTTTTTTCTCACAGTTTCAATCTCCCTATAATATAAAATTTATAGACTGTTTTTAGTATATTTGACAAGTTTATTGCTCTGGGTACAGATCTGGGTAATATTTACAAATTCCAACCCCCAGAGTTATAACAATATAGCAACTCAGCAGTCAGCTCACTGTATTACATTTTATCGCAGGTTTCCAATCATTTGCTGATCTTCACCACTGTGAGGACCTTAAGAAGCAAGCTTTACAATACGCTACTGAGCATTTCTGGGAGGTTCGTTATTATTGTGATATTGTGATCTACAAACTGTCTTTATGTTAAAACACTGCAGTATACACTATACAGTCCTAAATATGTTGAATAATCATCATCTTTGAATATAGGTGTTCTGACTGCAGTATACTGTTATTATGGCATGCTTAGTCACGGTCGATATATACATGCATAATATGCCTACGTAGCCATATTTTATGGGCATAATTATGAGCTTTTAATGGACAGGTGTTATGATATTATGTGTGGCATAAGTTGTTTTAAGCGGACTAATGACATGAACGATGTGCCGACTGTAGACTATTAGTATTACTGCATTATTTTATGTCCCTAAAATGTATCTGAAATTATCACTCCAAAAGAACGATCCGAATTATTAAAATTCATCAATGATAGTGAGTCAATCATTTATGTCATCAATTTTAACCGATGGTTAAATATGGTGTTTTGATGCTGTGCTCAGTCTTTCGAACTCTTCATCATTTCAACTACAAGGTTTCTTTCACTTAACTTAATAATTTTAATTTGACTACAGGACGTGCATGTGCAGGTGATAATACTATAATTTAAGCTCCTATAATTAAAATATAACATGTCACGTGACATGTTACATAATTATCACGTGACATATCTCCTGTTCAGGTATGCAGACAAGAGGAGTTTCTGAGGATCACATCGGACCAGCTAAAATCTCTGGTGAAATCAGATGTGTTGAATGTTCGGAGCGAGGAGAAGGTGTATGAAGCACTGCTGAAGTGGGTGAAACACGATGTGGAGGGGAGACACCAGTACATTCCTGATCTCATGCAGGTACTAATTAACTAACTAACTAAATAATTAGCTACTTTTTAATTGAGTAATTGGCTAGTTAATCTACAAGTACTGAATTAACGAGTCAATATCGTCTTAAAGTGAACACAGAAAATCATAATCATTACGTCATGTGCCGGTCATGATTTGTTAATATCTTGTCATGATTTACCGCTACAATCAAAATCTATGATAATGATTATTATATTATATTATGTTAACAGACCAGTATCGGCTTTATATCGGCTTTACAGTTTCTCTGGAGCTAGATTTATAAAATGTAACAATTATTGTTGTTAAGGATATATTATAATGCTTTAATTGTACTGTATAAAATTTGAATTTATCTATCCATGGATAGCCGATAGATAAATGAATGGATATATATTAGGAATAATCTAACCATAGTATATGTAAGAATTCGATATTATTCAGCAGGGAGGAATAGTTGTTAGTTAACTTACTCCAAAAGTTGCATGTTCATTGTAATAGCTTGTAAGTGGTCTGTGGTAAGCTTATGGCATAATTACTCTCTATAGTTGAATAATTATTTGAATAATTAGCCTGCAAGTTCGGTTAATACTGCCCCATTTTTTGAAGTATCTCCTAGCCTTCTACTCTTGGACAATGGACATTAGTGTAATCTCGGCAGTTTCGTAACATTACGTGTAAACAGGAATGATACGACTCTTCTAATGAATGTTAGTTTTGAAATATAGTGAACAAGTTTGCGACTGAAACATCACAATATAATGTTCATTATAACGCATTCTCTTCCAGACAGTATTTTTGGAGCACACTTGAGGTGTTAACTGTTAAATCGTATATTTATCACTTATTTATAATATTATGACGTAATAATAAGATAAAAATAATAATATGTGGTAGTTTCATATGGCTCTCTACTCTCTAGTGCTTTTTAATGTTTTTTAATTCCCAAATCGCATCACATTCAGGGAAATCCACTATCCAGGGACCAAATATAAGATCACGTGTTGATACCGCCCTCCTGGCTACAAACTATAAGTTATTAAGAGAGCGGCAGTTTACAAAGATTTGCAGGGTGTTTCTGCTCTTGGAATGCAAATAGCCACTTTTATCATTTGAATTCCACAGAGCTTATATTTGAATTTCACGGAGCTTGTGCTCCAATTTGGAAGTTACCTTAAGGCCAATAAATTTGGTTAACAAAATTTTGGTTACAGTAATTTTAGTCACAAATTTCACAAATTTTTAGTCTACAACAATTTTAGTCACATTTATTTGTGTTTTTAGGGAATAAAATTTGTGAATAAAGAGAGAGTGTCTTTGTTGTACAATGAAAACCACAATGAGATGCATGCGGCACGTCAGAGATTATCGTTATGCTCCTCTGTACCAGCTCTATCTTCAATGTGACGGAGTGACGTCACGATCATTCGTAACCTCTGTAACTTGACACTGACGTATATAATAAGATAATAATCAATTGTGGACCACCTAGTAGTAGAAAGTCTTTTTGAAGAGCTATAAATTAGATAGATTTTATAGAATTTGATACTTCGCGATCATTTACCTATAGTTTATCTAAATTACTGTGCCCAGTTACCAATCTATGTGCAGGCACGTGTATTATTAACCTCCTCTTCAGAATTCAAGAAACGCTCCGGTCACGGTGTAGCGCTTCTATTCAGACCTACACCCTTTATCAGAGCCTTTATACTATAATATAAAGGTCTATAATATTAACGGCTATTAAATTCCATCGAGTTCATGACATAACATTGACGCAGCATTATAATTTTATAATTCATAACATTCCTCTCATTTCTTGTTTGTCATCGCTGAATCCTTTTTCTTTTTATTTTTCAGAATTATAAATTTTGATCGTTTTAGTATAGCTGTTACTTAGTTTTATCAAAGAGTTTTAAATATTTTAATCTATTTTATTTTTTTGAACTATTGTCGATATATTTTGAGCTATGACCTTATTTAAATATTGTTGACATTAAAAAGAATTTGTTTAGACTAAAAATAATAATACATTATACTGTAAGAATAGTGAATAGGCATAAAAGCATGATAACCTCCATTTAACTATCCTTAGTAACATTTCTTGAATAAAACAAATCATCGGGGTTAGTAAAAAATAACCCCGTCATAGGCCGTAATTTTGTATCAGGTTTGATGACGCCCTTTTTGACATCTTTAGCAGAATATCCAAATGTACCTAATCTAGCGGAAGACCCTCGCTAGTGACTACGTTAAAATTGTACTGACCTACCTATGTGACCATGTTGAGATTCGTCAAGACATTACCACATCTTCTGACCACCCCATAGCGATGTAAAGTCTCGCTCGTTGCGCCAGCACAGCAGAGAGTTCGTATTTGGAGGAGTATATCCCCTGATCGGTGGCTTATCAGGGAGACAACCCCTTTTTTAATAACTTACTTAATACTTGGGTTTCGACTCCATTTCTCACTGCTAGACTTCATTTCTGTAAGCATATTACTCAAAATTTATGAGACTTCGCCTTCTGATACCTAAATTGGCATAATAAATTCCTGCTAGCACAAGTTTCATTTACCTTGCTAAATTTTCCGGACCTCCTTCCCATAATTCCCGTTTCTTAACCCACGCTTGATAATAATCTAACAATATAAATCTAATTGTGGTATAGGTAGTTCAATTTAACATTACTCTTAGAAACTCGTTCAATGTTTATATGCAATATGTAATCTAATCATTTTTATTATGTTCCTGTCAGGCTGTTTGTGAATCATTTATTTATCTATTAAAGATTTAGAAAGTCTAGAACTAGAAGGTTTAGAAGGTTTGTTGTTGACCCGGTTTATCAGGGAGAGAGGGAGAGACAACATGAACTGCTTCTTAAATACTTAGCAACTAGAAGAGAGTGTCGTTTTCAACGTCACGTACTGACCTCACGTACTTAAGAGCCTAAATGAGTCATTATGGCTCTTTACTAAGAGACGTAATCATAGCGCATGCCATTGTTAACACTCGGGCGACTGGTCCAGGGCCCTACATACCATAGAGTGTTATTTCTGTCTCGTAATCGCTGTGCCTAATACACTTTAAATTAGATTTACACAGATAGGCACCACAGAGGTACAATTTGGGCAGGTCTTTCAGTGTGTACGTACAAAACCACTGTGGCCTGTATTCTTGCTTGTTTCAGCTGATCTGCCTTCTGAAATTATCGTTGGTACCTACTACCTATTACTATAATTTTTAAATAACTCTAACAAAACTTTATATTATAACAAATCATTTGAGTTAGCCGTACACTTTCAGGGAGTATTGAGAGATTCGCACCTTACTACTCTCTCCAAGATTTAAGAGTCACATCAGTACCTATTACTCTATTACCCACCAATAGTGAAAGTTAAATTAGTCACACAGGTGTGTGTTTGTCTCAGTTCTACCTCTATTTATTCCGTGATACTTAGCATTCGTTTCCTCTTTTTTTAGGACACATTTTTTTCGTTTAGTTTATAAAATCTCATTGAAGCAGATCATTGAAATTTTTCTTACGTACATTGAGTACCATGGAAACATGGACAAAGATTGTAGTAGGGTGAAAGGCTGGATGTAAGCTTTACATTCTGGATCTTATAATACATTTAATTAATGAGCAATTAGAACATTAGAGCTATTAAGGAGTTATTGCTGTCTTTTATAATTAAGAGCTATTAAACAATCAACGAATCTAATGAAGATTTAAAACATCATTGAGCTCAGATATACTGACAGTGTGTAGATAGGTAGATACAATGTGTTATCAACACGCAATTTAAACATTAAATACGGCTTCTATCGCATCCTTAAGGGGACATATACAAAAAGCTTTTATGTCCCGAACAGGCTGTAACTTCATATTAAGAAAGTATACATTAAAACAATAAGATTTGATACATTAAAAATTAATTTTGAGGAACCGCACTTTCGAAAAAATAAATATTTTCTTTTTCGAAAATTTTGAAAATTTTGAGAAGTCTGTCACTGTTATACCGATATTTCAGTCGTTTTTAAAGTTTTTTGGCTGATTTTTTTACTGAACATTACTTACACTCTGTACAAGAAGTCCTTCAAAGGATTTTATAATTAAAATATAGATGACGAAGTTACAGACCAAACAAGGTCGAAAGAAGCAAAATTGAAATTTTTGTAAAAATCAAAGTTGTATATTTTACCATTCACCCAGGTCATAAGATATCGCTTTAAAAATTCTTGTGAGTGTAGTTGATGATCATATCCAACTTTTTGGAACAGGATTTCTCTCAGTTTTGAGTTTTAAGGTAGGAAATGTGGCCTAAACGACTTAGTAAAATTCATCGTAAAAGAGGGCCAAACATGGCAGATTTAAGGCTTAAAATGCCTATAACTCAAAAAGTATCAGTTTTTTTGAAATAATTTTTACAGGATCGTAATCAGCTTGGTAAGACGAATCTTTTAGTACCAAATTTATAATAATTAAAGACACAAAATTTGTAAAAAAATGTGTACAATTTGTACCAAATTTATACAAGGGGGGACCCTTGTGTTCGAGCTAGAAAACTATTTAAGACAATTTGTCTTCTAAACTCACCTATTTGGTACTAAAAGATTCGTCTTCTCAAGCTGATTACGTTTCTGTAAAAATTATTTCAAAAAACTGATACTTTTTAAGTTATAGGCATTTTAAGCCTTAAATCTGCCATGTTTGGCCCTCTTTTACGATGAATTTTACTAAGTCGTTTAGGCCACATTTCCTACCTTAAAACTCAAAACTGAGAGAAATCCTGTTCCAAAAAGTTGGATATGATCATCAACTACACTCACAAGAATTTTTAAAGCGATATCTTATGACCTGGGTGAATGGTAAAATATACAACTTTGATTTTTACAAAAATTTCAATTTTGCTTCTTTCGACCTTGTTTGGTCTGTAACTTCGTCATCTATATTTTAATTATAAAATCCTTTGAAGGACTTCTTGTACAGAGTGTAAGTAATGTTCA